TTATTCAAATAAATTAGTAATATAATGAAGTACCTTGCACGTGGAGGATGATCATTTGACTTATACAAAGATGACTGTGACACAACTTTTGGCAAAGGGAAATACCTGTAAATATACATTTGAAATTCCATTTTGGTGTCTAACTACACACTATTATACATAGAGCCCCAAACATTGAATGTTCTACATCTTACAAATTGATGTTGAGGACTAAGTTGTTAGCTGGGGATTGTTTAGGCAGCTACAACTTAATTTCTGAATTCTACATTAATGTTTAAACTTTAGAGTTATTTTCATGAAGTTGGGGCAACTAGGAATAATGAATGTCAAGTGAATTAGCTTTGAAAGTCAAAATAAAGAAGTGTATGAACTAAAGCAACCATTTTAAATAAAGACTATAAGAAATTAAGAAGTTGGAAAAAAGTATAGCGTAGAATTGGTCAACTTTAAAACACTTAAGTAACCTTTTATATTTACTCGATGATTAAATAGTACTCAAAGCGTGTATGGTGAGGTTTTGTTAAGCAGGTGCAGCAGTGCAGCTGAGATTATTGGATATCATGTGAATTAAAATATCTTATTTGATCCAAGGGTACTAATAATCTCTCATTCTGAGAACCTCTTTTTTATTATATAAAATAGCAGCAAATGCAATTATAAATGAGCTTTCATTTCTTCGTCCTATGATTAAAAACAAAATTAGAAAAGTAATTAAACTGATTTTTTGTGAAGTATATTAAATTGTTTATATCTAGATGTTAGGTGGAACTCGAGTGTTCAATATTTAATAAAATTAAAGAGCTTTGAAATTTAAAACAAAACCAAAACGAAGCCCACTTTGAACACCAATGCAGTTTGATCTGACCAATTAAAATGACTAGGTAGATGCATTCAAACCTGAATATGTATTAATTTACATGAATAATAATAGGATTGATAACTTCAACTTTGTATTAATTTAAGTATTCAATCAAATAAATTACCTTATGAATAAATATCATCTACACATAGAATTTGAAAAGAGTGTTCCAAACTGTCATGAATAGTCAATTTTTGTGTGAATAAGATATTAAGAGTGATGACTTCAAATACGTATACAAAAACTAGTGAAATCCAACAAAATGAAAGATCTAGAGAACTTAGCTTCAAAATGAAGACTTGAGATGATTGGAAGATGAAATCAAATCGGTCCTTCATAATTCTTGACCTGGATGCTTTGGAGGTTTAATGCAGTGACGAGAGATACGAAAAGGTGGATATTGGGTCATAAAGGGGTTGGAAGAAGCGGTGGCGTGCAAAGCGGAAGGAAGCGGGGGAGGCTGTTTGGCCGGGAGGATTTTCTGATGACCGGGAGTGTGAACTGTGGTCGGTGCCGTTATTGAAGCGACCAGAGTCGGTACGCGTTATCTGGGCTGCTATTTTGGGTCGGCCGATTGTTAGGCCAGCCTAAGGAAATTATTGCTAGAAATTTCCAGCTATTTCCATTTTGATCGTTTTTAATTACTCCTTACATTACAAGACATTTTATTGTATTTCGCATTGTTCTAAATTTACACCATTTTGTTGCATTTGATATTCGATATGCACTTTGAGATATTTGAAAAATAAAAACTGCATTTCAACAAATTTTAATTGAAAAAACACTAATTCAAACTAATAACTTGGATGAAGTATACAGCCACATGGTTCATCCGTTCATGTAGTAAAACAGAACTGATCTAGCAAAATATAAAAAGTTTAAAACTAAAATATAAATAATGTACAGGTGATTGTACTTATTGACTTTCTAACAATTCAAAATGCGTAACAGAGAAATTAGAGGATATTTATGCTTTCAATGCTATTTTCAGATCATTTTTAACTACTTTCAAATATTTATCATCAACTCTCTTACTGGTAGAGTGAGCTTATCATTCTGTGTAGCATTGATAAATGACGTTAACCATACTTATGAACTACGACACATTTTTAAATCTTTTAACCAACATGGTATACTTTTGGGCTGGCATAGAGCCCGTTTGGTACTACCCAAATCGGCTGTATTGGTTGATTTTGCTGAAATTTATGAAGCTCTGATTGAAGTGGCTGGATTGGCTGATACTGCTGATTTATGAAAAATTATATTTAAAATATATTTTATTAATTACATAATGAAAAAATTATATTATATGACATAATAGATAAAATAAGGGTATGCGATAATGGTGGTGGCAGTGGGATGAGGGTGGCGGGGGTGTCATCGTGGCCGGACTCGGCGTGTCACTGTGACCTGAGGTGATGTGTCACTATGGCCGGAGGTGGCATGGCGTGTCATTGTGGCGATCACAGTGACACATGCGACAACGACAGTGACATTGGCGGTGGAGGTGCCATTGTGGCCGGCGGTGGCGTGGCGTGTCACTGTGATCGAAGGCGGCATGTTAGTGTGATCGGAGGTGGCGTGGCCTGTCACTATGGCGATCACATTGACACCAAACGACAACGTCAATGACACCGGCGATGGAGATGTCACTGTGGCTGGTGGCACTGATCGGGGGAAGGGGGGCAGTGACACAGATGATGGCGGCAGTGACATCTGACAGCGACATGAAAGTGGTGCAGTGACATGAATAAAACATCTTGGTCACATTTTTGTCCATATGTAAATGCGATCACTTTGTTGTAAATTAGCTTTTGTTTAGTAATATTCAGGGAGAAACCCCAATTCTAAAACACTTATAACTTTCACCTTTTAATATAGTTTTATTATGGAAATTTTTGATTTCTTAGTTTTTTTCCTATCGTTTATATTTACAGTTCATGTTATTACATTACGACAATTAAATTCATCTATGTGAAGTTATTAAACTATATACTCCGTATATATTGTTTGTATTACTCCCTCCGTTCTTAAATATGAGTCTTCTTAGGCTTTGACACGGGTTTTAAGAGGAAAATAATAGGGGTAGTGTAAAAGGTGTAGTGGGTTGTGGGTAATGAAAAAGTAGGAAAGAGAAACGGGTAATATTAATAAAAGTGGGAGTATAAAGGTATTTTGATTAAAAAACTTACCAAAAAAGGGAAAGATGGACAAATAATTAAAAACGTTCCCAAAATGAATGTGAGACACTTAATAAAGAATAGGAGTATTAAAACCCTACTTTTTTATATGAGAAATGTATTTTCCCGTGCATCGCACGGGTATAATACTAGTTTTTATATTAAGACCACAAAATGTTTTAAAGATATCATTTTCTCACAATAAAAGGGGTTTTTTATTCAATAAACGGGGTTTATTTTGTGATTATGAAATACAATATACTTATTTTATGTGGATTAATAAAACTTTGAAATAAATTGGTAAAGAAAAAAATTAATTCAGTTGTAATTTAATTAGTTAAAGATAAACATAAGTAAAGAATTACAAATAATTAGATGCAACTCACGCATAAATTAGATGTAACTCACGCATAAAAATATGTAACTCGCGCATAAGAAGATGTAACTCATGTATAACATGATGTAACTCACACATAATAACATGTAACTCGAGCATAAGAAGATGTAACTTCGTATAATACTAAATGTAATTCCAAGAATCAAAATAAACAAACTCAATGTCTTAAAAACCTCTAAAAACATATAAAAGGGAAAAAAATAATTATAAAAAAGTGTACGCATATAAATGTTTATTACAGAAAAGTGTATGAATATAAAAAAGATATTCCAAAATGTTGTATGAATATAAAAAACATTACAGAAATAAAAACAGTGTATGAATATGAAATGCAATATACTTATTTTATTTAGATTAATAAACTTTTTGTTATGTATTGATAAAGAATAAAATACAGATTCAATTATAATTTAAGTTGAAGATAAAGAAAAGTAAAATTGCAATTAATTTTTTAATATATTAATTTGATGGAAAAGGAGAAGAATTTTAAAACAAAAGAAAAGAAAAACAAAGAAAGTAAAACAAAAGAAAAGGGAAACAAGAAGCTCCAGGAGGGAAAAGAAACGTAACTTACAAATAAATGTGGGATCGGCACATCATGCGAAAGGTGGGCTGATCCCACGCTATAATTTCCCCAGAAAACACATTGATCATGTCACTATCACATATCCGTTCAACAATTATAATTAATAAAAGGCGCAATATGTATAAAAAGATATAGGGGTAGAAAAGCTTAGTGAGAGCCTTGGAGTTCTGCATACTTTTCATGTGATCAATTCTGAAGGGGTTTTGTACTTGTCAAATCGCAAGATTAGTAAGGCCCAATTTTTTATTTTTGAATAATTTGAAATTGATGTTCTAATGAGTACAATTATACAACTAATGTGTTTGTTCTGAGTTCCTAAAAAGGTTGAAGGGGTGTAGAACTGGGCGTAAAAAACTAAAAAAGCCTACTCATTATTAAAGTAAGGAGTAAATATTGGGCCTAAATTCAATTCTATTTTTTGGAGCCTATGGGGCGCGGAGAATCAGTAATCTACACATAGCAAGATCTCAAAGGAAACATTAATCAATTTGGTGACTACTCTGATTCTAAAGTGCCAATAGGTTTATTTTTATTTGTAGACAATAAACAGTAATTCACTCTCTTTTTCCCTCTAGTACAAATACTGTAAAGCAATACATACTAGGTATATGATAGATATGATTATGTGCTCAACCGACCTGTTAAAGGGTTCAGCCGTTCAGCTAAAGCAAACCAAAGGCCGGTTTCAGTAGCTTAAGATAGCTAGAAAGCCTAGAAGACCAAATATTGAGCATTCTACTTATAATTTCTTTTTAATCTTGCTTCAAACTTTTATTCCATTTCATTTAGATATTTATCTATGAGACTCTGACCATCCGAATTGAGTAATCTGAGGGTTTTGCGTCTTTCGATCAAAAGGCACCACCTGACCACCATTTGGTACATTACCAATTTACCATTGAACTGTTGACACTGGCTGCGTAAAATCATCAATAAGAGGTTGTATGTTTTAGGTAAGTCACTCATGTAACATATGATTTTGAATTAGAGCAAAGCATAGTTCTTTTTCTGTGTCTAATCAAGATAGCAGAAATGTTAACTATGGGAGTGGAATATGAACTACGTTTCCTAATAACAATTTGTGTTCCAAATGGAAGAATGTGAGTTTCTGCAAAAAGATGCTACCTAGGATCAGTCTTCTTCAGATGGAGATGTCCTGCAAGCCAAGCCCTTGATTACGTGCCGACATTGAAACCAAATAATTTCATCCGGGGATGCACAACCCGTGAAATTAGTTGCATCACCATCTTGATTGTCATCGTTGCCTATGCACTTAAACCTCAGCTTAAAGGGAGTTACCTTCTTGCTGTATCTAAAGTCACGCTTGGGGAAAAAATGCAGAGGCAGACTGACTGAAGATGGAGCTCTGACTAACAGATAGAGCTTTGTAGCACCAGGATACGAACTGGAACCAGCACCTCTTGATACTAATTCCCTTATAGCCTTCTTGGAGAGTGTTTCCACCACTCTGGACCTAGAAAAATCTCCAGAAAGAACCCTTCCTCCGCAGGGGAATTGCAGTTCATAGACATGAAGCGGGCGAAGAGGGGTAGATCCCAGAACCAAAAGCACACTCTCAATGCTTGGAAATGCAGTTATCATCAGTTGCAGAGCACTTTTCATATTTGAAATCGACTTCATGAACTTCTCGAACTTTCTTATACCAACCCTGACCTCTCTCTTTCTAGAGGCGTGTTTTCTCCTGACCGAACCCTTCATTCCCTCCTGAGCCACAGCTGTCTCCAAAACCTCGAATTCGGCCTGCAATTCATCAAATGCAGAGGTAAGATCCTGCAATACGGAAGGGATTTGCTCATGCATGAAGAGTGCGAAGCCGATTATGTCAACGGAGATATGGAAAATGAAGGAGGCCTCAAGAGAGCCTGCTGCTGCTGTTGCTTCAATAGTCGCGAGCTCCATATCCGAGCTCGCTGCACCTTCTAAAGCTGAAATTGAACATTTTCTTCGCATCGCCACCATCCAAGTATGATCATGCAAATCGACCAGCGCGAAATCATGTCAAGCACATAATCGGTGTGCGGAGCTACGCCTGGTGAATTAGTACATTCTTGGCAATAGACACATCTATATGTGTATATCTATATACTCCCTCCGTCCCTAAATAAAAGAATCTGTTTCTTTTTCGGGCCGTCCCTAAATAAAAGTTCCCTTTCCTTTTTTGGCAAACAAAACAGTGAAAAACAGTGCAAAACAGTGCCAAACAGTGCCAAACGGTGTCCAAACAGTGCCAAACAGTACCAACCAAACCCACTTTCTTAAGATGTGTGTAAAATGAATGGATACTTTTATATAGGAACGGATGGAGTATATATCTATCCGTCGAATTTTAGGGGCATTTGCGTAAGTCCACACATTGCTTATCTACCTTCTATCAAAATCTCCAAATCTGAAGCATCTCCTAGCTAAACTCTTCGATGATATTGGAAGCATCTGGATATCTTCTGGCTCATCTATCGCCCAGTTCGGATTTCCCTTTCAATCGCTCATCCCCTAGCGACTCTGTGGCTCTCTCTCCATGTGAATGGTTTCCAGCTTCAACGATTTCAATCTAGCCTTCCAACTGCATCATCAACCTTCATCTGATCCTTCTTACCGGCGCTTTCCGATTGAGTCTTTCTTCGTTTCACATAAACTTCGCATCTAAAATACAAACACTGCTTTTCCTATTCAATTTTGTAAGTCTCCTCCGCAGGCACTTATGTAAATTCCTTTGTAAACGCATCTGGCCTGGTTTCTACTTTTTAGGGCATCTACAATTCTTTGGAGATATGCTTCACCTTTTCAAGATAATCCATTTAGCTCTAGAAATGCCTGGCCGCTTTAGCCATAGTCAATGTCATCGATTTCTATTACTCTCTAATTATCTTCAAACTTTCTTTTTTCGTCCGTTCCAAAATTATCTCCTCTTTCATTTTTTGGTAAAGAATTTGTGATTCACGAATTCTTACAAATTTCTCTCTCCTCTGCACAACTCTCCACCACACAAAAACCACTATCTTAATTAGTGTCTTAATTAGTGTGCCCAGCCGAAATGGGAGAAAAAACAGGGACCCAGATAGTAATTCTATAAAGAAGGTTGATGTTCTTCTCACTGTCAACTATCAAGGTTAGTTCATTCCTCTTAATCTTTGTTTGTGGATGTTATCCGGCCAAAAGTCCAAATTCTGAAATTTTAAATCTGAAACAGTGGGCAAAGTAAGAGCAACAGGGCAAGGGAGTTTGGGAGTTGGCAACCGATTGAAGGCTCAAGTTTGAGCCTGAAGCATCTCACAGTCTCATCTACGAACTACAGGTTACTTATGGAGTATTTGTTTTTTGCAAACACGGGGTATTTGTTTATCCAACCTATTATATTTTTTTTATTTTTTTTTTTTGACTTTTGTATTTTTTGGATTTTGGGCGGTTTGACCTTTGACTCTAAAAATGTAGAATTAGAGTGTGTTTAGTTTACCTTGCTGCTTGCAATTAGTTTTTTTATAAAAATATTACTAAAATAAAACATATTTACAGACTATTCATTACTACAATGTGGTGTTGTGGTAACTTAAGCTCAAAATTTAAACATGAAATACTATGATTTCATTACTACTCTAGTCATTAGTCATATTTTTGTAAATCATCTTTATTTTGATCATATTTATGTAATTATTTCTTATTCTTTTAGGATGAAACTTTTTTCCTCTAATTATTATTTTTTTAGGTAAAACTAATAATTCCACAGTTGCTTAATTAAGTAACTAAAAAACTAATAATTTATACTTCATACTTCCTCCGTTCCATAAAAGTTGCAACATTGAAATTTCTGCACTATTCACACACCTTACTTTGACTACGATTTACTAATAATATATATAATAAAAATATTATGTATAAAATATTAATAAATTTGTATTAATGTAAATTTCCAATATATTAACTTTTTTTAATGTTTACTAATACGTAAATAAATATAATTACAGTCAAAGTTGCGTGTTGGCAAACGTGAAAGTCAAATTGTTGCAACTTTTATGGAACGAAGGATAGTATTACATATTTACATTACATGATACTTCCCCCATTGTTTTTTAGTTGCAACGTTCCAATTTTACGTTGTCAATGCACAAGGTTGACCATTAATATATTACTCCCTCCGTCCCTTAAAACTTTTCCATCTTACCTTTTTGGGACGTCCCAAAAAACTTTGTTACTTTCCCTTTTAATCAATTATTTTGTGGTTTCTGTTATTTCTCTCTCCTCTGCACAACCTCAACCACACAGTTTTTACTTTATTATTCTCCGTGCCGGTCAACTTTTGCAAAGTTTTAAGGGACGGAGGTAATAATTTTTTATATTTTTGGTTTTTCTATTATTTGAATTTTGGGTGGTATGACCTTTGACTCTAAAAATGGAGAATTTTGGGTTATTTTTTTTGCTCGGTTTGCTGATTTCGCATCAAGTTACATATCTAATTTAAGCGAAAAGTACCCTTATCGCAATGAAGTTATTTATTTGAAATAAGCTAGCATCACTCTGGTCTAAATACCAAAGTCAATCAAATTTTCATTAAAAGTGAGAATAAAAGTAATGCATCCTAGCAGAGCCATACCAAAATGGATCATATTCTGCAAAACCAACCTTAAGACCCTTGAGATGGTATTCAACTATTCATGGACGAGTGCCCTAGGAGGTACTTCTTTAGCTAACCATGTACATTTATGTTTACCCATCAAATAAATAACTATTTTTCATCTCTTTCTCATTAAATGACTATTACTGTTCTAGCTCAAAATAATTTACATTTTTTTGGAAATCTATATTGGAGGTATATAGAGCCAAGAGGATTTAAAGTTGTTTTGCAAAGCCATTGCAGCACTTTGTTAACCATAATGACCGGTTCATGGTATTTTTAGTGGCTCGGTCGGGATTCCTAACTTTTATTCTCACTTTTAATAAAGTTCGATTTTCATAAAAATCGAACTTTATTTCATAAAAATAACTTCATTTTGAAATGCAGATAGTTTTCTTTTAAATAAGAATTTGAACCTACTTTCCTATTGCAAGTTTTCATGAAGTGTGAAAGTATGAGAAATATTTGTTTGGAGATTTTGTGACTTCTTTTGCGATGATTCTAGAGGTTCTTTTGTTATCAACGATTAATCTTGCTAAAGTATGATAGTTAACAAAAGTAGTACTCCCTCCGTCCCAAAATTATCTTCATAGTTACTATTCACACGGTCAACTCAAATTACTCTTAAACTTTTACTTTATATATTAAATTTTTATCAAACTTAAATTTTCTTGATCAGCCTTTGTAGCGGATTTAATGTAGTTTCTGAATATGTAAATTTAATTTACTAAAAATAATCTGAGTGTGAACAGGGATCAAGTTGTTTTATCGTCAGTCAAGCATCGTAAATCGAACTACGAAGATAAATATGGGACGGAGGGAGTATGATTTGGCGGGTTTCTCAAGCACTAAAGTGGCTTCCGGTGGAAAGCACTTCAAAAGTTGGCTCCTAAGTTGCTAAAAACAATTCTCTTGACTATTACGGAGTACTCCGTATAACCTAATAATGAAATTTACTCCGTTGTTCCTTTAGTGGTGACATCATGACGTGCACTAAGGGTGTGTTTTGAAGTTGAGTTTTGGAGGGGAGGGGAAGGTTGATGCGAGTTTATAATCCTCCTTTTCATGTTTGAGAGTTTATAAAATTGGAGGGGATGGTTCTGGAGGGCTTTAGTGACACTCCAAAACACTCTAAATGTCAATTTTTGGAGGGTTTTGAATGATAATTGAAGAAATGGTAATTTAAAATCAATTAAAAATAAGTATCAGTTCAATTATTTGAATTCCTCATATTTCAAAGTGATTTTAATTATAACACATTCAAAAAAATTCTTCTTCCAAATTTATTACTCCCAATACAAAGAAGAGCTCCCCTCCCTATTCCCTCACACTCCAACTTGGCTTCGACCTTCACAAACTCTGCCAATGACAACTCTCTTGTTGAGTCTTTAAGTTCAGCAAAAAGGAAATCAAAATCGCTCCAACATTAAGGATTTCAGAGTATGAAACAAGCGCAGCTGTCATTAGAATTTATGTGTAGATCACTGTAGATGCATAAGCTTGGAACAACTTCATATATAATTTGTTAGTTTGTTATCCGTACTACAAACAGGTAGAACACGGAACTTTTTAAATATAATGACATAAAAAAGTGAAAAATAGCCTTTTCACATTTGATTCATCTCTTCTTAGGGTATGAGTTTAAATAACTACAATAATCTAAGAGAAAAATGCATTTTTACTTTTATGTTTTCTCTTTGACTAAGATTTAAAGCATATTTGGTTATTGGGGCAATGAGTGATTTGACAATTTTCAATTTGTATTATTTATATTTTTTGAGGTGAAAGGATCCATGTATAGTGACACAAAATTTTATCAAATGATTGATCAAATTGTAATAATCTCTTGCTACTTTATTGTAAATACTTAAGATTAGTGCATATTTTATCCCAATATTCGAGTGATGAATGTAGTAAGTATTATTTATACCCCTCTGTTCCGAATTGTAAGTTACTTTACGGTTTACGATGTTTGACTGACGATAAAGCAAACGGATCCTTGTCTGCACTCAAATTTTTTAAGAAAAAAAATTACATATTCAAAAACTTGATAAAAAGTTTTACAAAGTCGCAAAAACTAGAATCAGATTTGTGTTGACAAAGTGAATAGGAAAGATATCTTACATAATGAGACTGTGGGAGTATAAAATCGTGAATTACAGTTTGCAATAATTTCTTCACTTTTATTTAGATATTACGTAGTACATTATAAAAAGTTTTTGCAAATAATTTTTTGACTAATTTGTTATCGCGTGCAACGCACAGGTGAAAGACTAGTTTTTGAGAAATGAAATTATAAAACCGTCATCACCGTAACATGTCTGCACTTTCACCCAAACACTCCAACTTTTGCTTCTGCTCTCTGAATGAGCAGAAGCAGTTTTAATAATCAGATCCAAACACCCCCTCAAACTGGCTCGGAGAGATACAAGCCGATT